AAACACGACTGTCATACGACTTAACCCGAATCAACACGACCGCCATACGACTTAACCCGAATCAACACGACCGCCATACGACTTAACCCGAATCAACACGACCGCCATACGATTAAACACGAATCATTTCGATCTCCATACGACTGAGCAAGACCTTCATACGACATATTATTGTTTATTTTTGTCACGTGGGTCATGTAGTATATAAGCTGCATTGCAACAACATTTCTGTGTCAGTCTTCGCCATGTTCAACAACGATCAAGACCCGCAATAAGCAGCTTTGGAGGAGGAGGAAGTACTTCCGGTAGCTATGACTTTGATGGTGAGGGGTAGGAGGTAGCGTAGGCGTCACAGAGTGAGGAACAGGAAGAGATTCTGGGTTCGACCATGGTTGTTGAGGAAACCTCTTTATGGGCAGTATGAACACCTTATGCAATAACTGTATCGTGAAGATGTGAATACATTTATCAACTTCTTGCGTGTCACCCCGGAGGTGTTCATGGAGCTAGTAGAACGCGTTGGTCCTCGTATTGAAAAGGAGGACACCTTCCGGATAAAAGCCCTCGAGCCTGGGCTTCGCCTAGCTATACCACGGCGTTTATGGCCACTGTAGACTCCTACTGATCACTTCAATGTGGTTTTAGAGTGGCTGCTAATACCATCTCTACGAATATCTACGAAACGTGTGAGGCTATTGCACAAGAGTACACAGAAGAGGTCATGCCGACACCAAAAAATCCAGAGGCTTGGAAGGAGGTGGCTGATGAGTTTTCAACGAGATGGAACTTTCATAACTCTCTTGGTGCAATAGATGGAAAACATGTAGCTATAAAATGTCCACGAAATTCAGACTCTTTCTATTATAACTATAAGGGTTTCTACTCTATCATACTCCTCGAAATAGTTGACGCTGCATATAAGTTTCTGTATGTTGACATTGGGACAAATGGTAGTTGCTAAGATGGTGGTGACTTCAAGGACTGCGACATCTATCAGGCACTGGATCAAGGCACTGCAGGTCTTCCAGAACCTCAACCTCTTCCAAACGATGATCAACCACTGCCATTCGCAATTATAGGAGATGATGCCTTCGCTCTACGTCACTGGGGTTGATGGATGAAATTGATGTTTTTTTCTTATTATTTGGTCTGCATTTCTTGGTTGGTTTGGGTCCGGTTACAACAACTGAAATCGACATCTAGTCATCATGACCCACGTGACCAAAATAAACAAAAATATGTCGTATGAAGGTCTTGCTCAGTCGTATGGAGATCGTTTTTATTTTTGTAGTCGTATGGGCGTCGTATGACAGTCGTATTGGGGTCGTGTTGATTCGTGTTAAGTCGTATGACAATCGTGTTTGGTCGTATGACAGTCGTATTGGGGTCCTTTTTAAATGAGGTTAAATCGCGTTGTATCGTATTAATATCTTATGACAGTCGTATCAGTGTCGTGTTCAGTCGTTTTTGGTCGTATGAGGGTCGTTTTTGGTCGTATGAGGGTCATGTTTGGTTTAGAAATTTGCATAAACCACAACATCGAGCACAAATCAACACTATTTTTCAACTTTTCTTAAATCGTGTATGTGAGATAGGGGGAACAATTGAGGTGAAAATGGCCTTGGAAGGGGCTCCGTGAACGTCCGTTTTGAGGCCCGATACCAAAGTCTGATTGTAGATGAAACTAGTGAAGCCGCCATACAGCAGTTCTAGATATGTTGCTGTTTTATGAATAGAAAATGACAACTACAGTTTTTTCAAAAACAATTTTGTTAATAGAATATTTCGACCCTCAAAAGCTAATATCACCATCTTTTGAACTAAAATAAGTGGAAAATTGTGTAATATTTCCATTTCCAAAGCCTAAAGATAGCCCTACAACTATCACACGTGATGTGTTTCCCAATCGGAACTGTTTGTGTCTCTCCTTTGTAAGGGAAAAACAACCGGGGAACAAACAGGAATTGTCATCATATGCAGATGATGACGAATTTGCATACTAACACGCTTAGCTACCTCCACAAACTATATACACGCATTGTTACGTACACAAATAAGGTAATGATAGCTGGTGTCACACAAAGGTTACATATGTACGTAGAATCACTGATCTGTAAAGGAATGTCTAGGACGACCTATACCGGGTCGCTACCGGGTCGCTACACTGTCTACTTCTGAACTCCGCAGGTTTTTTTTATTATTTTTTTTTTTATTTCTGGCGATTTTATTCATGTGTTATGCCTATTTTAGAAATAAATCGAACTCGAGAATACATGTTATAAATAAAGCTATATTTTCATCGAAAACAGTCGTAACAACCTTCCTATGGTAACATGCATAATAAGGCAATCTTTATTAAATCCCTCGATATCTACTTTACTTTATTCGTTACAAACATTTCTGCAAATGAGATTCCAGTGATAGCGTGCATAGAGGCAGAGCCGCATATGCAATGTTTTACACAATAAAGATCTCTGATAAAAAGAACCATCCCCGTCTTGTCACAAACCGTACGGATCAAAACCAAAAGCACAGTCGTACAGATATTTAATATTAAATGTTGTTTACATACAGGCTTACTAGACCTGTCGACAGCTCTTACAGCCCAGAGTGATTACAATCGGTCTGCATATATATTAAATTATTGTTTAAGAATACACACGTTCCAGGACATACATGGAGACTAGAATCTTTATAAAAACCTTAAGGCCGGTGGTTTTCTCTACATAACATATGTTCACTCATATAAACAGGGGAAAGTCTTCTCAGTACGGCAGAAGAAACTAATTTTGTGTACAAATTCATCAGACGTTCACATCAACAGCTATTGCGTTTTAACCGGAGATACATCACGTACGGGTAGAGAGGGTTGTAATTACAGGGATGACAGTCGGTGTATGTTGCATATTCATGTAAATGTTGTATCAATATCACGACAGAGTGCTACAAGCTCCAATATACAGAGGCATTCACACGTTATAACGGAAACACGCACTATTCAGTTGAGAGCTGTAGAAGCTCGGTATGTACTGTATAGTACTCGGGGACAGACGCATTGATGAATGGTCACACCCCTCCAGCCATGTCATGGTCAATCTTCACACTCTATACACTTTGTTGGTTAGACTGTTACAGCGATCGTATCGGCCGATCGTATAACTCGCTTACTGTCTGGCCATTGTATAGCCGAATACCATCTATCCTTCTAAACAACCTAGACAACCTTGACAGTTGTCGGGTAGTCCGAATATCATACATCTTTTTCACTGTTATGTCTGGTACAATGTAGCCTCGATCTCACCGACTAGTTGTAAATAATTCGATATAGGCCGAGTTTTTTTAGCTAGTGATACTGCATGGGCTTGGGTAGAATGGATACATCTGGGTTAATATTTGGATACATTTGGATATATCAAGTTTATCAAATAGATGTTAAGATCAGAGTACAACTAGGTTATAAATGTCAAGGATTAGAGGATATCCGAATTTTACAATATAGGTGACGTATACTTAGTATATCCTTTACATGAAACGAAATAAGCTGAACCCTATATAGTATTACCTAGGTTGATATTTGGTGATAAAGGTAGGGGTTACCTGGGTTAATAATATACAATTATGGACTTCAGGTGAGGTCTATCCCTGATTTATGAAACTGGTCTGAACAATATTCACAGAGACCGAAGGCCGAGGTGAATATTGTTCAGACCAGGTCCGTAAATCAGGGATAGACCGAAACTGAAGTCAACAATTGTTTTATCAGATGACATTTTACGATAAGATTAATAATTTTTCATGGCTAATGCACATGGATGGCATGGACCATTTTGGAATCACAGAGTGCAGGACTTTAAATACAAAATAACATACACAAAAATTGAATTTCAGATTCAATTCATGTGATATTTGATTTCAAGTAAATATTATTTGAACAATTGACATCATCAATATTAACATAGTTCAGAAGTTGATGAGATAATTCATTTATATTTGAATTCAGTATTGTGAATGGTAACAGATTTACAGACTGGCTGGGAAATTACCTCGGCCTATTTTTAGTAGTGATCTGTAACACTTTTCTATTTCTAGGTCGAGGTCTGTAACACTTTTCTGTTTATAGAACGAGGTCTGTAACATATCTACAGACTCGTCACGTGACGTCACTCCTCCAATTAGGGCTGGGAATTAGCACCAGCCATATAATAATAGCTGATAATATCTACAGATACATCATTATTGACTTTGTAAAGTTCATTTGGAACACAATAAAGCTTTCCTTGGAAATATAGTGAGCACAAATGTTGTTTAACGAACTTATTAATAGCGTCTACTAAAAAACAACTATTGCTATATTAAGCTACGCTGTGCTTTAAGATTAAAAAAAAAGTGAAATCAAGGTTTGAATATGTCCTCTTTCATATGTACAACATGCATAATTAATTAATGACGTCAATAAAACGTAGACAGTGTGATAAATCATCCCCAGCGTTCGTCTGCTCGTACACATTCCTATTGTGTTATGTTGAGTAATTAGTGTTGGTCAACTTTGTAGTGTTCATACCTGTAAACTTATATCATAAACGGCGAGAGACCTACTGTCGACCTACTATATATGTACATACTATACACGGGTTCACTAGCTTCAGTATCGTAGAGATTTGTAGTTTGTCAAATTACCACATCTCGTAATAGTCGTGCCTAAGGCGGGACTTTGAAATATAACAAATTTCGCCATCAGATATGATTTCAGATGACACCAGGTGAACTCCTTGGTAAAATAGTATGCACGTTATGACACGAGGATATGGGTGGGGGTGGAGGTTCCTGTAAAAGAGGGACAAACCAACATCTGTCAGTGTAAGATCAGCATAATGAAATATGTTATTTGTTTACATTTTGATATTTCATATTGTTAATATGTAATAGCATCATTTTTTCATACCTGTACAATGGCATACGAATCTCTAATAATTTGGACTATACTATATATAAAGACTTACCTGCCAAATAAACGAATATGTCAGCGACAACTTTCCAACCAGTCTTCATTGTTCCAATTAACAAAACAACGCACTAATTACGAAATATTCGGGTAGACTTAAGTAGATACACAGGTGTTGATGATTGCAGACGACACTGACTTAAGGCCCACCAGGCACAGGACATTCAGGTAGCCTACTGACTTCCGTTTTTACCTGTTCTCAGGTGTTCGCTAATCCTGTATGCCTGATACACAGGTAGACCATATTGTGAGGCATTCTCCGCTATTCTCTTTACTGTCAGATGTAAAATGGGATCCAAACAGAATTTAAAAACCACAAAATATAACTATTTTTTATCAAAATTAAGCTATTCAAAATGAGTACAAGATTATCCGTTCAATTTCCTCAAAATGAGTGAAAAACTATACGAATATTACAAGTTTTCGTGGATTATAGGACAATTAAAAGTATACATTGTGAAAATATCCCTTCGTAGGCCTCTTTTGTCACGGGTAGGATTAATATGTTCTTTTATGTGCTCAAGTACCTAGAACACCTTTATGAAGTGTTTAATTCTTTACAAAGTTAAAATTCAAGTTTACCTGCATATGATAACTTAAAACTAGACGAGCCATAAACATGTTTACGGTTAGAACGACTATAGAGGATAACTCGGTCTTCATAGAACGACAGAATATCGGAGTGGTAGCGGACACCGGGGAGGTGTAACTGTCGGCGTAGTGACACCCTACCCAACCAGTCATAACCACAAGTGGAATAAATTATCGGAGTGTCGGTTGGTTTAATTTACCGAATATGACACCAATGCTTAACCGTTTCCGCCATAATAACATCCCCGCCAACCCAGTCATAGCCCCACCCTATATTCACTTATCCACCCGCCTAGTCACAGGTCCACGTGCGGTCAGTAATAGGACAGAGTTTTCAGGTCAATTTACACCAGGTTACTCATTTCACACTGACTCAAGATTTTTTATTCACTCCTGACACACATTTCGTGTGTAACAGGAGGTAAATCTTCGGATACATTATATAATGGCAGACCAACTGGAAAGATTGGTGCATTTTAAAGCAAATGCATACATACAAAGCATACATACTAGGCATAGCATAACAAATCATTACATGCATACATATAGTAACATACATACATATAATATCATACATACATATAACATCATAGATACGTATAAAAGCATACAAACATACATATGGGACAATACATACAACAGCATACATATAATAGCATACCTACATACATATAACAGCATACATACATACAACAGCATACATACATACATATAAGAGCATACATACATATGACAGCATACATGCATACAGCAGCATACATATAATAGCATACATACATACATATAACAGCATACATACATATGACAGCATACATGCATACAGCAGCATACATATATACATACATATAACAACATACATACATACGTATAAAAGCATACAAACATACATATGGTACCATACATACAACAGCATACATATAAAAGCATACATACATACATATAACAGCATACATACATATGACAGCATACATGCATACAGCAGCATACATATATACATACATATAACAAGATACATACATACATATAACAGCATACATACATACAGCAGCATACATACATACATACATACATACAATAGCATACATACCTACTGTATTATATCATACATACATATAATAACATACACATAATAGCATATATAATTTCATATAATAACACACATACCTACATACATATATTAGCATACATACATAATAAATGATTACAATATACGTAGCATTTTTTCTAGTTTAGATAAGAATTTGCTTATTTTGCAGAGCAAGGAAGAATTACAAATAGAAAACATACCTTTCATTTTGATAATAGTTGGATTGATATAATAATAATTGGGAATGTATTTATGACGTATTTCAATTACAGCGTCATTCTGACATTGGTACAAATAGTGAAATTCGTCACCTACATCTGTTGTACATACGGGACACATTCTTTCCTGTCTTGGGACGCCTGTCGATCGACCTATTTCTATTGGCAGCCTTGAATTGGACATTCTAAATTTACATAAAATTTTCCGTTCTTCTGGGAAAAGCTTCAGCAAATATGGTTCAAATTTCCATTCGTGTTTGAAGATTGAATAGGTTTTACCACGAGAAGAACTATCTATGTCATGATACCTTTTCTTGATAAATTGATCGATTAATCTCTTCTTGATAATGCATTTTAAGGTATCTCTATTGACTGTACATGTGTTTTGGTAAGTCCATATATTGTTAAAACCAGTATTATTGAGAATAGTCTTAATAAAAGTCAACCATTTAAGTTCTAAATGGCCATTCTGTTGAAGTTGAAGCATCAAAAAATATATAGTACTTGATAACTTGTTGCCACCTGAGATTAGCTTATGCCAAAAAGCCATCATTCTTGTTTTAATATCTATTTCCAATGGATAACGACCAAGCTCTCCATATATCATATAGTTTGGAGTACTTTTCCTTAGATTTAAGATCTTCTTGCAAAATTTCAAATGGGTTTGTTCAACAATACCAGCTTTTTTCGAATCCCCATATCTCACTCGCATATATCATAACGGGTGAATCAAATAGTTTTAGTTGCAAATCTACTGGTAATGGAATAATTCTAATTTTCCTGTAAAGTGCATATAAAGCCTTGTTTGCTCGTTCAGATAATTTTTTTCTACCTTTGTTAAATTTACCATTGTAACTGAATAGTATTCCTAAGTAAGAGTAAGAGTCCTCTCCATTCAAACTTTCATTGTTATAAGTAAAGTTATATGCTCTTTTACTCTGACTATTCTCAAATATTACAACTTCAGTTTTCTAAATGTTGACATTGAGTTTTCATGTTTCGCAGTGATTTTTTGAAACAGTTAAGAGCATTTTGTAGACCAATGTTGGTTTCAGACATTAACTGTTACAGTGTCGTCAGCATACAGTATTATAAACAATTTCAAATACACTCCAATATGTGACCGACACGCTGTTTCGATTTCTTGTAATGAGGAAATGTTGTGTTCTTTAAAGAAGCTATCTATGTCATTTAGATACAGGGAAAATTAGAATGGGGATACATTTTCCCCATGTTTTACCCCGACATTGCAAATGAAAAAGTCAGACATTTCATTCCCATTCTTAATACATGACTTGGTATTCAAGTATAGATTATATATGACTCTGAATACATTTCTTTATACATTGTTTGCGATTAATTTTTTCCACAACCCGACTCGCCAAACAGTATCGAATGTTTTTTTAAATCAATAAATGAACAGTTTAATTTATTGCCTTGTGAAAAATATAGAGAAATTATAGAATGTAATACAAAGATATTTTCGGTTGTTGAATAACCTTTTCTAAACCCGGCTTGTGCGTGAGATATAAGGTTGGTTTCATCAGCTAGTTTATTCAGTCTTTCGTTAATCATTGTCGTAAATAGTTTCCCAAGACACAAAACAAGAGTAATAGCCCCGTAATTGTCTGGGTCTCTCGCGTCTCCCTTGTAAATAGGTTTTACTATACCTACTGTCCAGGTTTCCGGAACTATTCCGGTGTTTAAGATTATATTAAACAAATTTGTATATATAGGCAAAAAATAGTTGGCTAGTATTTTTAATGTACTCATTTAAATTTTCATCAATGCCACTCGCTTTGCTATTTCTTTACTTTTCAATAGATTTTTAATTTCTTCTTCTGTTATCATTTCATTTAAAATTAGATCATATTGGTTATCTTCTATAACAGGGAGTTCGAACTCATCTACGTCATGATCTATAGTCGAACTAGGATTTTTAAAGTAATTATGAAGCTAAGAAATTGGTATGTCCGCCTTTTGAAGATTAGTTGAGCCGGATAGTTTGTTAAGTATATTCCATAAACGTTTTGGATCCCCTTTTGAGGAGTCCCGTATTTGTTTTTCCATTTTGTATTGATGGTCTGTATAACATCTATTCATCTCTTTCCTATATTTGATCCTACTATTTTTTTTTAAATTCTTATATTTTTTTTTATTTTTTTTTAGTTCTATGGAAGTCTTTTCTGTATTTCGCACAATCACCGGTGAACAACGGTTTACTGTGTGTTTTATTTTGCTTACCCTTATAAACAGGATTTTGTCTGAACGCTTTTTCGGCTGACGAGATAAATACATCTCCAATACTTTTTACAATTTCATTTACTTCACTAGAGGTTATATCGTCATTTGGTTTATCCATTAAATCAGCTAGAATTTCTGTTATTTTTTTTATTTTTTTTATTAAGCAATAGGCAAAAATGCCTTTGTGCATTTCATAATAACAATCCACATAGGTGGTACAGGTGGAGTGGAACATAAACATGGACAAAGAAATATATTTGTAATTGGTATAATACACATACATGCAGCGACAGGTACGAGGACTTATTTTCAAACTACCCACATTTAGGCAACCAGATATCCATTACCACGCGTTTCATAGCCATAGAGAAAGTACATATTGTTTGTATAATGTTAAAAGTTTGTACCTAAAAACAATTGTGTTGCATGTATATGTGATCAATGGGAGATAACTCTCGATGCCATTAACAATATTTAACGAATTGAGTATGTACGTAACAAAAATACAGAATTTAGGATAAAGTTGCCAGAAACACGTACAGAATAAATACCCAGTCGCCCAGAGTTAATTATTAAAAAGAATATTATTTCTGATCTCGTTTGCCTTGAAAACATAAATTGCTAGATTTCTTACAATTGCAACATTAGATGATGTAATTAAATCCACAAATCTTTCCCTAGTAAAGTATCTTCTTGGAATGAACTGTGTCCTTACCTCAGAAAACTGATTACATTCAATAATAAAATGATACTCGTCTTCTAACACATCACAAAATATACATTTTCTCATCTCATACGGTATTACAATAGGTCTATGCCATCGCCCTACCTCTACACTGAGGCGGTGTGATGATACTCTTAGCCTTGTCAATGCTATTCTAAATTTATTTACATTTACGATATCCAGATACTCTTTATATTCGAAAATTTCACCCAATTGTACGTAAAACCTAGCTCGAGACGACTCAGCTAGCTCAGCATTCCAGTTTTGGACAAAAACATCACTCACTCTTGTTTTAAACAGACACATAAACATATTTATACTGCCAACAGCCTGTAGATTCCAGACATAACCGAAACCATGTGTAAAAAGCACGGTTTTTACTAAGCTTGCCCAATTATTAACATTGTGCACCTCACATTGATCATATAAAACATTGTAAACAGATTGCACTAAATTATTTGCATTTCCACATACAATTTTTAGCCAGTACTTAATAATTCTACTATATCTCAAGAACCTTAACGGCATTCTACCGAGTTCCCAATACACAAAATTATTCTGCGTTGTTGATTTAACTCCCAATAACCTTTTACAAAACTTCAGATGT